CAGATTCTCAGCCTCTCCAGTGTGGTGCAGCCATTGTTGGACTACTCGGACTCTATCCTGTGAGCTAATCTGGTTCTGTTTATTTAGAGAACCCTGACTAATACAACTCCCACAGAGATTCACCTCCCTCAGCCTCCTGAGTGCTGAGATTACAGACATGATCCATACACCCATCTTGAGACCAATTCTTTCCAGAGTATTCCTAAATTCTTAAGACAATCTGACTTTGAGAGCTGCTAAGAAATGAGAGGCAAAAAAAATCCCTTACATCAATTCACCCCTTAGTATGGGTCAGACATTGTGCCTATCCCTTGTTAGCTTTGGCTCATTTAATCTCCACAATTACCCTATTTATTAGGGAGTTGCTATTATTCCCATTTTATAGGTTAGAAATCAGGTCTCAGGCAGCCAGGCTACCTGCCCAAGGCCATGTGGCTTCCAAGTAACAGACCCTGAGTGCTCGCTAAGAACCACCTAGCTGGGTTGCATCCTGGGAGTCTTCAGTGGAGAGCACCTGGGCTTTGAGGCCCCACAGAGCAGATTCTTGGCTACATCAGCTGCCAGCAAGCTCCTCACCCTGTCTAAGCCTCAATTTCCTCATCTATAAAATAGGGATAATAATAGTACTTAGCTCTGAAGGCTGGGAGGAAATTAAATGAGCAAATTCACGTGAAGCAATTAGCCTAGTACTTGAAATGTGGTATGTGGTTAGCAAATGTTAGCTATTATTAATGTCTCTGGACCTCTATTTTCCCACCTGTACCATGGGAAGTGATAACATGTATATCACACAGTTAGTATGTAGCTTAGGATGGTGTAAAGCTCACACAATGAGTAAATGATAAGCTATCATACCACGACCCTCCAGAAAGAATGAAGGTGGGGCCTGAAGCCCTAGCTACCCAGTAGGCTCTCTGGAACCCTGGAGTGTGAGACCAGCCTGGGCAAATTGTGAGACTGAATTAATAAAAACAAAAAACCCTATCAAAACAACAACAACCTCTTCTTGCCAGTAGCCTGGGGTGACCTGTGAAAATAGTTCACTACTCTCTTGACCCAGAAAACTTTTAAATCAAAAGGTTCAAATCTTCCTGTAAACTTTAAGAACACTTGTGAAGCTGGGTGTAGTGGCACATGCCTGTAATTCCACTTTTGGGAGGCAGAGTCAGGAGGATCATTGCAAGTTTGGGGTCAGCCTGGGCAAGACACTGCCTCTGAAAACAAAAACAAAACTGTAAAATGGTCCAGTTCACCAATGGTATTTTTAAAAAGCCATCTGAAAGATGTGACTTTACAGAAGCATGTGTGGCATTCAGAGGTACCATAGAGGTATGCCTAAACCTAGATGGTGCTGAATACAGGGTCACAAAGAGTGTTGAAATTTTTGTTTCACATACAATAAAATGTGAAGAGTGAGCTGAACTTTTTTTAATTGAATTTGTTTGTTTGTTTTTTTTTGTCTTTTTGAGACAGATTCTCTCTGTAGCTCCAGCTGGCCTGGAACTCACTATGTAGACCAGGCTGGCCTCAAACTCACAGAGATCTGCCTGCCTCTGCCTCCCAAGTGCTGGAACTAAAGGCGTGCGCCACCACACCTGGCTTTAATTGAATTTTTGTGTACTTCATACATAAAATCATCTCTATACCCCCTTTACCCTTCCTCATAGCCCCACTGGAGTTCATATATTCTGTCATTTGTGTTAAGGCCTATTATGTAAAGTGTCCTGAGATGTCCCCTCAGTACAAGTTCATCCACCGGGGTTTAGTTAGCCTATCTAGAGTCTCTCCCTTCAAGAAGATCATGAGCTGAACTTTTTAAAAACAGATTATCTGATCACTAAACATCTCCAAGTGAACAAAGCCTGAAGAACCATGGAGCTCAGGGTGGGATTAACCCATCTGTGAGTACCCCTGCTACCTGGAACACATTCTCATGGAAAAGGAGCACATTGGCTTTCCAGGTGGCTCAGGGGGTAAAGAAAGGCCTACTGCCAAGCCTGACAACCTGAGTTCAATCCCTGGGACCCATATGGTGGAAGGTGAGAACTGATTTTGCCAAGTTGTCACCTGACTTTCACACTCATGCTATGGTCATGTATATGTACACAAAAACACATCAATCAATAAATAAATACATAAATTAAATGTAAAAATACAAAAATGTTTTGTTTTGGAAGTTCAGACACATATAAAAGTAAGCAAAATACTATGTTAAGCACCCAGGTATCTGCCACAAAACTTTACTAGTTACCAACTCTTAGCTATGCCCCTCCTGCCTCTATCCAGTATAAATCTGAAGCAAATTCCAGGTGCCACACCCTTTCATTTGAAAGTATTCTAGTGTATATCTCTAAAATAAGAATTTTAGCTGGGCACTTTAGAGGCAAAGGTGGGCAGATCTCTGTGAATTCAAGGCCAGCCTGGTCTACATAGTGAGTTCCTGGCCAGCTGAGGCTACAGGAAGACCCTGTCTCAAAAAAGACCAAAAAAAATTATTACATTTTTATTTATTTGTTATGGGCAGGCACAGTACACATGTGGAGCTCAGAAGACAGCTTGCAGGAGTTGGTTCTCTCTTCCACCACATGGATCACAGAGATTGAACTCAGGTCATCAAGCTTGGCGGCCAAACACTTTTACCTCCTAAACATCTCATCAGCCATGGTTTTTGTTTTGTTTTGTTTTTGAGACAAGGTCTCATGTAGCTCAAGCTGGCCTCAAACTCCCTCAGTGTCCAAGCATAACTTTGAACTCTTTTTTTGTTTCATTGGGATTGGGGGGGGTTGTTTGTTTATTTGTTTTTAGACAGGGTCTCCCAGTAGGCTGGCCTGGAACTCACTAAGTAGACCAGGCTGACCGCAAACTCACAGAGATCCACCTGCCTTTGCCTTGCAAGTGCTGGGACTACAGGTGTGTGCCACCATGCCTGTTTCGACTTTGTATTCTTGATCCTCCGTCTCCACTTCTTGAGTACTGAGATTACAGACATGTGTTACCATA